ACTACTACCTTTTTGCAGTTTTGATGCTGTTTGAATTGAAAATTCTTGTTACAAATTCAAATCTTGCAATACTAAGAACATGTCAAACAGTCAAACAGTTGATTGTCCTCAGAAAGCAGAACAAATTATATGTTTAAGTTAAAAATGAGTCTTGAAAACTACCCATGAAAGCCACTAGCAGGACTGCAAGTCCCAAGTATACAAAGTATAAACTGCACTGCAAAACAAAAAGTCCAAAAAGGGAAACGTGAGAAGAAAGAAAAAGCTAGAGCGAAAGAGGGACCAATTGAAAGCAATTTCCAAGTTCACACCTTTTCGACTTCAGTCATGAAATCGCCATGATTTTGTTGGGTCTGACCATTCCCCAAGCTGTTCATGAGGCGGCTGGCGAAAACCAACAGGCAGTTGGTGGACATTCCATCTCCAATTGCACCAATAGTACCCAACACCATAAGCAAAACATCAACCCAATCAGCATATCTGAAGATTATGCCAATATTATGACTCCTCTCTTTCTTCCCCTGCATTTCTGTTTTCTCCTCCTCCACCCCATTCTTCCCCGGAGAACCCATTTTTGTTTTCATGGAAAAAAAAAAGAAAAAAAAGGAACCCTCAATGCCAAAGTACAATCATCTAGGATATATATATAGCAAGTAGCAAGGTGGAAGCAACGGGTGATTTTCCATTAAGCAACCAATGATATGTCTCCTTTTCTGCTTTTTGTGGAGTAGTTAGAAAAGAAAAGTTGTCTCTTTTATGCGAGTTGGTGATTGTTCTTTTCATTGCCATTACCATGACCGGTGTAAAAGGGCATAGGCCAGTTTGCACGAGAGGGGTCAATAAAAGACCTCCAAGTGCCCCACAATCCCAGAGAAATAAAATATACATATATTGGCAAGTTGTAGCTAGCTAGATGAAATTTATTTTTTCAGTATTCCATATAGTCAAACAGGGACACCAATAACCTTTTTAGCTTTATGGCAGAGCTCTGGGGGTGCCGAGAAGGTTTGCGCATTTGATTCTGGAAATGGATTCTCTTCTAGTGGTTCACATGCTTCAGGCGAAGAAAGGGGTGGAAGGTTTAGCTTGGACTCTGTTTTCTGACATTCTTCATCTTCTAAGTACGTTTTCCGAGTATCGTTTGCAGCATGCTTTTAGGGAGGGCAACTTTGCAGCAGATTATATGGCTGCTATTAGCCAAAACTTCTCTCATGGTATCACTATGTTTCCAGAGCCTCCGGTCGGAATTGACAGTATTCTTAATAGGAATGCATTAGGCACGTTGTTCCCTCGGTCTTAGTTTTTTCTGCTTTGTTTTTTCAAATCTTATGTACCAAAAAAAAAAAAAAGATTTGTAGAAAAACAAAGAATAGTTAGGCACTTCAGTAGCATGAGAGTTTGAAATTAGTGCTTATGAGTATAATTTAATCATTAACAATTGTTGTAATTTAATAATTAACACTTTTATTATTTTTATTAAT